TATATATATATATAAATATTTAGTTCTTCTTTAAGAGAACTTATATCCTACAAACTGATATTTAAAAGTCGATTGTTCGAGCAAAGTTATCCGCGAAGTATGTGCACAATACGCCAAAAAAACCAAAAATATAACCGAACAGGTAAATACATTGTTGATCTTTCACTCCCGTCTATCTCGTAATCCTTAAAAGATAAAGGATTCAAACACATTAACTACAAGTAAAAAAATATAAATCGTCGTAACGGACGAGAGAGGCACTGAACAGACACTCTGGCCCAGCTCACTCTGTAAACTTGATTGGTCCAAACGGTCACGAGATTAAGATAGATAAACGCGTGATTTATTCTACGAACGGAACTTTATCTGCGGTAAGGAAGGAATATCGTGCTGTATATCTTACGATGTCATCGGCATTAGTTAAAAAAAATTGAAAAGAAATAAGAAAGCAATTTAAATTAACAGTTATATTGATAAGCCGTGTAAGAGCCACAATTATGAACTTGTATAAATTGCTCACGTATCTCGCATTTTTCAAGAAGCAGAAATTCCAATCAAATGTAAATATAAATTTCTCGCTGACATTGTGGGAACACATTCAGGTTAGTAGTCATAAATTCCGCAACGGAAATGTTATTTTTCAAGTATAAGTTCAACTATGTGTCTTGGTTTTGTATTAAACGTTCTGGCCAAGTACAACTATATTAAATGATTCACATTGAATCTTGCTACATTGAATGATCTAGAAAGTAATCGGAGATTTTCATAAAGTAAAATTTTCGTTTACGTAAATTTCAGGGTTTGATATGTAAATTTGCTTGTGTCATAAACCAACTGATATCGACCTCTGATTATGAATCAATTTTTACCATCAAACGTAGAAATGTGCGACGTGAAACAAATTGGCACAAAGTTGGTGATGTCATCAACTTATACACATATCCACTCTTCGCAGCTAGTGAGGAAGAAATTTCAAAATGCAGCCTTAATCATTCCGGCCTGATTGGAATTAATGACGATTCTGAACTCCGAAATCAGTATGTGTGTATGTGTGTGGCGTCTACAAGTTTATTTCCTTAACGTAACATTTCTCTTTTGAAACTTTACTAAATAATAATCCTCCGCACACAAATAACGTATAACATATAACGTATTACTGTTACTATATTACTGTTAACGTATTACTGAACGTTATACGCATGATTATTTACATATTATGTGAGAGAAAAAATATTTAAGAGATAAGAACTATTTATTCGGTAAATACTAATAACACACATGTGCTCATACTAATATAAAATATTTTTCAAATACGAAAATATACATCTTCGTAAAACCTTAACTTTTCATGAAACTATTTTTTATGTCTTTTTATTTTCATTTTATTTTATAAAATAAATTATTCTATTTAAATAAAAGAATTTAGACTTAAGCAAATATATGTGTTATTAGTATCTACCAAATACATAAATACTATTTACTTTTTAGATATTTCTTCTTCCAGTGTTCACTTTGCTTGGACAAGTGTTCTTTAATATAAACATTCATACAGGAAAAAATACATATTAACATATAACGTTAATATGTACAACTCTCTCTCTTTCTCTCTTTCTCATGTCGTTAATATGTTTTTTAGTGCTGATACTATACCAATTACACAAAGAACACGATAATTGTAGTTTGTACTCTTTGACTTATCTGAAAAAATGTTGATTGTTTAATTGTGCACTATCAGCATGTTCATAGTATACAACAGTGAAACCAAATATATCATTCACGACTGCGACAACTACATATTGCGCGACATAAAGGTAATCAATGTGGATAACAACAAGGTGATACTACAGTCTTTCCACACACATTATGTCATGCTATTAGACATAAATAAAATCTCGATAAAAAACTCCGTAAAATGCGTGACAACGTTCTGCAATCAATTCCTAACTTACATAAATTGTATCGATTGCGGATTAGAAGCAGCTGATTGGATTTCCAAGTGCGTTCGTGCATTCAATAAATGTTAAAATACCGCTAGGAAACATAAAATATTAAACCATAGGTTTACAGTTCCCTAAAGGACAGCAATCTTCGTTTAGGATATACTATACCATGCAAACAGACCATGCAAACACCACTTTGGAAGCATATTCAGCAGAAAATTTGTGGAAAGAAACAGGATGAGAAAATTGTTACGGTATGCAAAATATGAATTGCAATATTCAGTTGGTATCAATGACCGATCGCAGGGTTTCATTAAAATCGTTCAGGGTCTTCAACTTATTAATAGTTCGCTCGTCTCTATAACGCTTACGTGAATTGGGTTCGAATTTTTATTTAAAGATCTGAGAGAATATGTAAAAGTACATATATGAGATACAAGTGACGCCGACAAAGCTTTCTGGATTGAAACAGAAATTTAGCAGATATATTAACAGAAGTTATATAACTTCTCCATACTTTGTCATAATATTCTGATGAATTATATATTAGTTATAAATATATTAAACATCAATTAGAGAGATATAAAATATCTCTAATTAGAGAGATTTAAGATATCAAAAATTTTACTGTGAATTTATATTCTCCGCAGCTGTCTTCATCACATTTACCAATTTGTACATTAGTACCGTCCTCATTGCGCGGATGGATAGGCAACAGACTAATGAATCTTATAAATTCACGAGACTTTCGACCAAATATCGTTATTTCAACTAATAGTTTGCATGATTTAATTGAATGGGAATGGATCATGGTTGGCAACGCAGTCCTGAGAAATTTCAGACCATGGAGAAGGTAACCACACATATGCATTATATCCTGCGCAATGCTTTGTCTGCGAATTTGTTAGCACGTAGCCAATATATTTATCTAACAAATTTCGAATATTTGCAACAACTACAAGAAATTTTCCTCCCATAAGATTTCCTAGTATACACACTTTTCTGTTTGGATTTAGTCGGCAAACAAAGCTTGATGGGCGAAACATGCCTGTGAACATGATGTTACATTTGCTACCATTGCGATGTAAGCTGTATTGTTCTGGACAAGTGCGAATAGGCGATGGAGTGTACGTGAAGATGCCCACAAAGGAAAACTGAGTAGCAGAAGGAGTTTTTCTACTATTCTACTATTTTTATACTATTTAGAAATACTGGAGAAATACTGGATTGTGTTTTAAATATTTAGAACTTCGTAATTTTATGTCCTTTATATTTCATTGATATCATCTAGGAATCCCGAATATTCGGATACCTAATTATTCAATCTGAAATCGATTTGGACTTGAAAATTAAAATCTACACTAATCAAATAATTCGAATAATAAAAATTATTAGGATTAAGATTTCTGCCAGAATCGAAATCCCAATCCAAAACCGAATTGGATATCTACTTATCCAGATGTCTAAAATCGATTTGGATTTAAAAATAAAAATCTACACTGGTCGAATAATCCAAATAATAATTGAAATTCGGATTAAGATTTGTGCCAGAATCGAAATCCCGATCTAGAATCGAATTCGGATCCAATTAAGACAGATTGAGTCATTAAATTGTTGCTGGAAAAGATATTGATTTATTGACTGTAAGATTTTCGGGAGAAAGATACTGTGAATATTTCTTTGCCTCGAATCTGCTATAAACTTAAATTCGGATCTGGATTCGATTTCAAATACTTGATAATTCAGATATGTTGGAGAATATGAACAAATCTCCCGGATAATTCGAATTTAAAGCATGATATTTATCCGTTACCCAATCGGATATTTAAATAATATTAAATCCAAAAGAATCTCTTAAAATATTGATTTTGTTTTAGATATAAAATGACAATTATTAATCTTTTTCAATTTAATAGAGATATTTTAATCTACATTAAAGTTATATATATGTTTAAATATGCTTAAGTAAATAAAAATAAGATAACATCTATTATTTTACATCGTCTTGTACATCGTCAGTATATCGTATTGTTTTTTGACAGATCTCAGAATCAAGCAAGCAGGCATTTCAAAACCATCTTTGACGCGTTTAAAAATCTTGTTTGCTTAATTCTGTAACTTGTTAGAAAATAACAGAAATAATCAGTTTTGCCAACTTATCCCGGAAATCAACTAACCCAATCCTCCCTACACCGTTTGTCTAGAAAATTTGTAGAGATTTTTGTGAAAAAACGGTCAACACGTTATATATACATATATAATTATTTTATTATTATATCTAAAATTATCCGAGATATGTCTAAAATAGTCTGTCACATTTATCGAATAAAATTATACCTAAGCATAAAAATATTGGACATGAAGCATCGACTTTAGGAATATTTATGTGTGAGCTGATACGCTTAGAAAGAAAGAGAGATGTGATATACGTGTTTCGTGAAACATAAACTCAAACACAATCGATACGATTGCCAGATAAACACGCTGTTTGCTACATATCGTTCGGGACCGTTTCCCGACGTTCGCAACATAAATATTTCTAGCGTTAACCAAACGGTAAGATACAAGTCTCGACAATACTAACGAGCGACGAGGAACTGACACCGTTAGTTCACTTCGAAAACTCGACTGATCGAAACAACCGTAAGATTGGAGATCGTAAGAGTAGACTGATGCAACATATATTGCAAGATATCACCTGTAATCAGCAATTAATTTGGAAAAGGGAGGCAAAATTAATAATATCGCCGGTATAACATTCAGAAGACAAGTCGCGAGTAAGTATTATTTCCCGCGATCTACTCGCACATCCGTAGTCTCGCGGACGAAAGAATTCCCATTCAAACAGCAATAAAAATTACTCGTTAACGACCGTGAAAATGAATATAGCGTTTTCGCATCGAATCTCACATCTTTGAAACGCTAAATAACGCTAACTGCAACCTCAATAATACGTCAACTAAAATAGCAATAATTATTATTATTCTTATTACTGTTACAAGTTCAACTGTCGCCCTTCGGTTTTAGTATATTAATCAATATTATGTACAAGAGACAGCATTGAATGATGTTAGATTCCGAAAAAAATGAAAAAGAAGGAAGTGACTGATGAACGACACGTTGTGATAAAATTTTGAAGACCAAAGTTTCCGACTAATCTGTGCGGGGTTTCAGGTATTGGTGCTCGATGAATCTGGACGACATCATGGAAAATGAGAATTCCCAGTATATTAAAAAAGAAATGTTAGAAAAGGAGCTAAAGTCGGACAGAATATGGGTCCAAGTTGGTACAATTTTTAACATATTCATGCGTCCTTTGCTCTCGGGCCAGATAATGGTATTTCCACAATACTCATGTAACACTAACGGCTTGAGTGGGATCGACGGCAATTCCATAATACGAAACAAGTAAACATTCAAACATTAACCATCTTAACTTCTAAACTTCGCTCACGTATCGCTCACGTGAGCGACACCGTTGTAAAGATGTGCGAACTATTCGAATTCGAATCGAATTGAATCAAGTAAAATTCGATTCGATTCGCTATGATTTGAATCCGAATAATTCGAAAATTTCGAATCGAAAAGATTCGAATATAAATCGCGCACATTAGCATTAACGAAGAACTATTAAAGACATCCAAAATTCCTTACGGGAATTAGCATGACTTGAAAAGTTTGCTATAAATTAAGATTTTCTTAAAAAATATTAAAAGAAGATAATGACTTCTAAACAAACTCTTACCGATAACTGTCGATCGATGGAACTGTATTCCATACACATTTACCGACTATATATTATATATCTCTTACATTAAAATGAATTTATATCACATGATCAATGTTATCTCTCTCATACTGAAATCACTATTTTCACGTTGAATTCAATGATTATGTTAATCAAAAATTCTTTTACGATTCGGATGAAATTTCATCGATTTGATTCAATTCGAATTCGAAATTAAAATCTGAGATTCGATCTGACATTAAAAATCTTTGATTTGCACATCTCTACAATGTAGCATTATGAATGCAATTGTTTTTAACCGTTGACAAATTTACAATGACACTTGCGGTTTTGACGGTGTATTTCACTTTTAATTCAATTTATCAGCATGATCGTTGTATACAACCGGCAAACCCGCTGCATCCAACAAAATGAGCTAAACTTTAATCTTAAAGACATAATAATTAAAGTCAGAAAAAATTTGGTGAAATTGATGGCTCCAAACATGAAAAGATTAATCTTGAACATGAATAATATCGTTGACAATAGTGCAGATATTCTTTGCATGACATCTTATCGTGAAATGTACACGGTTTATTCAAATTGTATTGATTGCGGCGAAGATGCAGCCATATGGATATCCAGGTAATTATATATTTAATGGCTTTTACAACGTTCTGCATGCGATATCTGTGTATTACTTATGAGAAACATTAGCGCACGAATATGTTGATTTTCAGATACTTAAATCACCCCCATCTGCGTTTGGGATATATTACACACAAAGAGAATTCGAAATACATGTTTTGGCGCAACGTAGAAGCTTTAAAAATCTACCAAGTGGATGAGAGAAATGTTACGGTAATAAAATTATATTAGAGCATTCAGATTAGCTGGTCGAATCCATTCATTTCATTAATTACTTTTAACAACTTTCATTAATCCTTTGAGCCATACATTTTATTTCTCAATAAAGTTTCATCAAATTTGGCTTATGAAAGATTTCGAGGTCTTTGATTACGAATTTGAAGTAAAAACATTAACATTCGAAATAGCGTGTCCAATATGGCGACCATAAGTTTCCAAAATTAAAAATCTCGCTTTTACACATTACACGGAAATAACGATGACATTTCCTCGATAAAAAAAAGATATTTACGTTTTAGACAAGAAACCTGCAACAAACACATCACCAATATTTCAATAGTTTATTGTAAAAGATAGCGCTTATAGAAAATTTTAAAAAAATGTGTAAAATATTATTAATTGTCCTTAACAAACTATTAACGTTTCGATATGTCGATTCTTAATAGTTAGCTTCAAAATTATTTTTGTCTGGAAAAAGTGCCTTTTTTACTTTTATTTTATTATATTTTCTTATAATAATTTGACCATTATTTTACAAATTATGTTATACAAATTATTTTCTACTTATTTTTAGTTCCTTACATTTATGTGAAAGTATGTGTAGTAACACGACGCTAGCGTATTATGGCTCAAAGGATTAATTACTTCAGAATATTTAAATTAAAAAAAGAGATATTATAAATCACATTAATAGCTGTTTTAGATGCGGTGTGAACATATATCGAAAGATATATCTCGCTCATGCTGCATCTGTCGCTTAAGTTAGAAATACAAACTTATGCAATATCTACGTAGTTTATATAGAATTATACATAGATTCCCTGAAACTATGCCTCGTTAATATAATTTTCTCAATAATGAAGCAAACATTTTTATAAATATCAATTTAATTGTGATTATAACTTGTGACGTGTCATGGTGACGAAACATGTTATATTTGAATGAAATGATTCGATAGAACGTAATCTTTTCAGTTCCCTGACAATATTATGCCGCGTCTTACGTTGATCTCGTATCGATCGTACCTTGAGGTAAATAAATTATTGAACAACCCTGTGACCCTAGACCAATATAATGCGGATATTTGCATTATACCGAATAACACGGAACCTTTCGAGGAGCTTAAGTGGGAATGGATCAAGATAGGCGATGTTATTTTGAAAAATGTAACTACGTGCAAAGGGTAAGAACGCGTAAATATTAATTATATACTTCGCATTTCCTTCAATTTAAGATCAATTAGCGTCGATTCTGAATATACTTAACAGACCACGAATTCTTACGACTGCTATGAGAGAAAAGATGTCTTCTTAATAAAATATCTAATATATCTCTCTTTTTCTCGACGTAGCTCACAAATTAACGTGAAGAACATACCGTTAGAAATGAAAATAAAAATGTTGGTATTGGACTGCGAATTGTACGAATCTGGAACGTTCCGATCAGGCGATCATATATACACCAGATAATATTCAAAAAATTCAACTGATATCGAGAATAAAAAGTTAAGTATTTTATAAATGAAGAGTGACTTGCATACGAACAACTGTCACTCTAGTTTCCAACTGAAGAGAAATCAAAGAGCATAAGAAGAGATTCAAAAAGCGTCTAATCGTAGACTTGTTGTAATAATCTAAGAACTAAAATTATTAGAATAAGTATACCGATTTATTAGACAGCGTTGATGAAAATTACAAGATTTTTAAAATCGACGGAACTCATCCGAGTACTTAAATTTCAAATGTTCTATTTATTGGAAATATAAGAAGGAAGTAAGGAAAGTATTTTTCAATATTACGTTGGTTTAAATCTTTACATGAAATTGTTTTACTTTTCATTATTTTGCATCATGCACAACGTTCTCGTCTTTATATTTGTGTTAATAATAAACTCATGACTAATAATACTAGGTATATTATTAGTTAGATTATATTAATTAAATCATAATTATTGAGACAATTAATATTTATTATCAACTAGCAAACATATATATAATGTACATGTAGTGTGTTTTATTAATGTTTATTATTAACTATTCATTTGTTCCTATTAATATGATTTATATTTGCTAAATGTCCTTCTTCCTACATTTTTAAATAAATATATTTGATTGCTATAATAAAATGTCTTATACTATAAAGTTCCGTTTTATTTTTTCTTGTTTGCATTACTTCGATTTATAGCAATAAAACATAATCCAGACAAAATTATGGAATTTTCGTCAGTTAGAGAAGCCATGATTATATGGACTTTGTGGATTTATACTGATTAGATAACTGATAACCGATAATATCTATTGATATCTGATAATATTTATACTGATTAGATAACTGATTTATAAGGATTCATACTGATTAGAGACATGATCAGAAATCTAAAATTTATTTTTTAGAATAAATGACTGTTTTATTTCATGAAAAAACTACGGTTTTAGAAATATATATACTTCCACATTGGAGAAACTTTTTTCTCTGAGTGAAAATGCGTATTTGTATAATATGTATAAATATGTTATTAGTTATAAATAAATATCTTCCTATTACAGAAGAAGTTTGTATAAGATATTTCCTTACTACACTTCTACAGCAAAAAATTTTTAAACTTCCTGAATATTGCAATTTTATATAAAGTCACATTTGTTCCACCAATAAGGGACTAGCTCGCATGATAAATCTCCAATTAGTTGAAACTTGTATCAAGCACATGATAACAAAGTATTATCTTTAAATAAATTATCCGGATCTTAAGCAAATAATTTTCGTTTCATCTTTCATTTTCTTCGTTCGTTTGACTTGAAACATCGATTAATAAATCAATGAAGAGCATTTTCATCGCCAATAGAATAACGGCGAATATATACGGACTGTGAGGATTTAAATAAATTGCACGTCTAAGAACTGATATTTCCAAATATACGTTAGACCCGAATAATGTTTTGCTCCCGAAATATAAATGGAAAGCCGAGGGAGAGTCACAATGATTTATCAGTATAAATATGGAAATATAGGCCAGTATTCGTAATCAGATCTTATATTTGAAATCATCTTAAGTTTATCTTCAGATGTTATACGAATTGTTTTATTGGCTACAAACTATCTGAGGATAAACTTAAATGTGATCTTAAATATAAGATTCGACTATGAATGATATGAAAACCAGCCATAAAGATAGAACGTGAATTAGGAAAGGGAATTACACTTAGGTAAGGGAGGTGAAGCCGCTGTGAGGGAAGAACGACGAGGAACATTATAAGCACTTTTCGTCGACTATTAGCTATACATGTGTAGCAACATACATATATGTATATACAACATGTATATATGTATACATGTACATCGTGTGGACATAAGTACATCTATGCTATAATATTTTAATGCATTTATATATTTATCATATTCTACGACTATGTGTGTAGAGTACCAGCCAATGAAAAGTGTTCACAAGTTGTTCTCCTCTGGCTTTCCCCCTTCCTCATTCCCTCGAAAACTTACGCTCCATCTCTATATTCTATGCCCACCACAAGCCAGTTGAATTCTTAACAGTCTATTGTTAGCGTCTATTTCGTGACAGTTATAAACGATCAATTACAGTTGCGTAATTGTCTGCATCATGTCTGACCAATATTTAAATGTCAATAATGAGTTCCTGGGGACTGATAATACGTGGGTCCGCGTTGGTACAGTTATGAGCCTACATATGAAGTCATTGCTGTCGGGCAGAACAATAGTGGCTAAGGATTACGTTTGTACAGATGTCGGCTTGACTGCGTCACTAGAGAATTCGACAATAATACGGAAGAAGTTAGTATTCAAAAATTAACCTTCATTTGAAATTTGCTCATACATAGATCGAATAGGCGATATTATCGCATATACAGGATGTGTGTCAATTCATAACATATCCGTTATATTCAGATAGTAGGATGAAATATGGTAAATGATGTAATAACGTCCTAATGATGTTTTTAATATCAATAATATCAATAATATCAATAATATCAATAATACGTCATTAAGACATGTTTAAATGTCTTATTGACCAGAAAGTGTTTAAAATTCTTGAAAGGAAAGAATTCTGCAACATGATATGTGTTAATAGATGAAACTTATGCTAATATCAAAATTATGAAACAATATAAGCTGATTAGAGAGTATAAATAATAAAATATGACAAATTTCTATGACACAAAGTAATTTAATTTTTACTAAATTCATCAGCACGATCGTCATATACGATGTAACAGACAACTGCATCCAACAGAACAAATTCTATCACAAACTTCAAGACCTGACCATTAAAAACATCAGCAATTTCGTAGTACGTTTTGAGGTATTGGGGATGAGTGAATTAGTTGTGAATGCGCTTGAACTGATAAGAAACGCAAAACCTATAGTGTGCAAGATGTCCTTCTGCGATAAATACTTGGTTGAAGTCAACTGCATTGACTGCGGCGAGAAAGCAGCCAAATGGATAAGCGGGTGTGTATCTCATAATATTTTGCAGCAATCCGCGGTATTTTACACTACTGGTGAAGAACGTTTAAGAAATTATCTAATAAATCGACTTACAGATACCTGGAGCATAGCAACCTACGTTTAGCATACGTATCGGCCGAACCCGAACATGAGTGTCAGTTTTGGTATTGGTTGAGGAAGTTGCGCAAATTAGAGTCGGACGACAGGAATATTGTGGTATAAAAATCAAGTTACTACGTTACATCACGGCTAATCGAGTCTGTTGGTATCATTGATCGCTTTCAGCATTGAGTACCTGAAAAAAGAAAAAGTATCACATGAATCATATAAGTTGCGATCTTGTTAAAGCATAGTTATATCAATAGCGTGCATCGAAGGGATCATTCATAAATTTACTATTTATGAAACAAAATTATGTTCCCCTGTTTCACTATCTACACTTATTTCACTATCTAAGTATCATTGTTAGTTTTTGAAACGAAATTGAGATAAATATATATACATATACACAATATCTCAAGTACAAAAAAACTATTATTTTTCAGTTTTTTAGTGAAAACTTAATTTGTGCATCATATAGAGATGTGCATTTAATAAAAAGAGATATTATAATATGTGTAAATGTATATATATTTCGAGTATTATTATAAAATATGAACTTTCCATCTCGCTGCACTGGAAAAACAGTATGGTTGGCCCACACATAAATCTAATTGTGCCAACCAAATTAATAGTGAAATACGGAATAACCAATTTATGTTAGTTGTTGCAACCACAAAGCAATTGCTGAGTCACAATGAGAATATCTGGTTTTTCTAACCAGAACCATAATAAATGTCACTCCAACAAATTTCTGATTGCCACAACCAGATCCCGCACAACTTCATTGATATAGTTAATGTGACTGAATCATGTCAAACGTATACATTGACATTACGCAAAAATAACTAGAGTAATGCAACTATACCGCCCATAACTAAATATTTCTTTTATGTGCACCATATTCTTTTTCGTGTATATTTTGGAAACAAGATGGTCAATAATTTTGAAAATAGTATATAACATCTTTTTATTGGTCTCTAACATCATATTAGTTTTCATCAAAATTTCACATGGTATAGAAAATACTGAGAATAGAAGTGAAAAATAGCACGCTATCCTCAAAGGACACGTATAATAACTGAATTTTAGTTGAAAATATTTCAACTCTTGAATGACCAACCACTCTTTCTAATTGCACGAACAGTTAGATAATATTTCACTGTATATATAGTAGTTTCATCTAATTCTTACAAAACTCATATCACGATGGAGCTATCTTAATTGCACCAATTGCACTTCGTCACGAGATTACGATACGAAAGTTTTGCATTACAACCGAATAATATATCAAAATATCACATTTCTTTAGATGCCGTATGCCTCTATACCACGTTACACCTTGTTGTCGTACCAATCGTTAACTGAGTTAAATAGAACATCAACACATCACCTCACTCTAGAGCAATTAAATCCCGATATTTGCATTATGCCGCGATTTGTGGCTCCTTTCAACGAGCTCGAGTGGGATTGGATCTTGATCGGCAATGCAATCATGAAAAATATCAGACCATGGAAAAGGTAATTACACACACGTAATTAGTTATATTGCTCTGATTCCTCCACCTTCAAATCTATTAGTGCAAATTCAAGATATTTCTAATAGACTTTTCAAAACTAAAATTATAAAAAAAATTCTAATGAAATGTCTAATGCGTACAGTACATGTGCTTTGTTTTTCTCGACAGCAGCAGGGTAAAACTTGTCCCTGAGCAAATGCCAATAGACATGAAAATGAATATGATGTTATTGCATTGCGAACTACAAGCATCTGGGAACGTGCAAGTAGGAGATGGCGTGTACGTCCGTCAAATTAAAAAGAAATGATTCTATCACTGATTAGTTCCTCAATACATTCAATTAGTATTACAATTAGAGAATAACGAATGTATAATATGGAAACATATGTTAAAAGTGCGAAAGAATGTCTTTTTTAAGAATATTGTTCCATATTACTTTCTTCGTATGTTATTTTAAATACTTTACTCTTAAAAAAATATAAATAGTAATAATATTATATATATATAAAACAAACATGTGCTAATATATTGTAAATTATATCAATGAAAGTTATACGCATTTAGAAACCAAGAAGAATTTTAATATGTTCATGTTTATTTAATAATATATTTTAAATATGAACATATTATAATAATTTTATCTGTTCTTATATTTACAAGAGAAAAAATCTTTAAAATCTTAAAATCTATTCTACATTTTTCTGTATATATTTTCATATAAAACTTTCATATATATATATATGTGTATATATTATATTTATACGTGTAACATATGTTTTACTATATTTACAACTCTATATTACAATGCACATGCGCTTAACATTTAGACTAATAATAAATTCATAGTAAATAATATATTTATGATTAATTATTAATATAAATAATAAATATAAAATTTTGATTGAAAAAAATTCTGAAAGTTCTGATTGTGTATGCGTATGTATGTGTTTGTGTGAGAGAGAGAGAGAGAGAGAGAGAGAGAGAGAGAGAGAGAGAGAGAGAGAGAGAGAAGAGGAGACAGAGGGAAAGAGAAAGTTTTTCATTCTTCATTTCTACTTAACAACTTCTCTACTAATTTTTACCCTTATTCTGTTTATATTTGTAAAAATTATTTTATATTATAATAATAAATATTATATTAAATAATATATTATATAAATAACATAAATTATATAAATAATATATTATAATAATAAAAATTATTTTATATTATAATAATAAAATATCTCTTTACACAAGTTGCCGTTTTATTTCTTATTACGTCCACGATCATCCACAAAATATACATATAACGTCTTTCAGAAAAACTGAGACTATGAGCAGGTAAACATACTGTTAGGTCGATCGCATCCATTTCCCACTACTCGCAACCTGAATCTCTCGAGCGTTAGCGATTTGCGAAAATATAAATCGTCCTATACACACGCGCGCGCACGTACACACACACATACGACAAACAATCGACGTGTACCGACGGCTTCAGTTCACTGGAAGCATTTTTGCTGGTCCAAACAATCGCAAGATCAAGAAAAATCTATGCGCAATATTTATCGCGAACAGTTAGGAAGTAACAACGTGTTTATAATAATTCAAATTTAATAATACATCAGAACAGCGAGATATCGCGCAGTGTCTGCTGCAGTCACTATAAGTGGACAAATTGGAAGAGGAAAAACAATATAACAAAGATTAGCCGGGGTATTATCAACAAAAGAACCTTGTATCGTTAAGCCGCGTAAGTAGTCTTTCCCGTTGATTACTCGTTCTGGTATTTCTCCTACGTGCAATAAAAACAAGTGAAAATGTTCGTGAACCGATTGTGCAAGAGAAGTCAGAATTCTCAAATCGAATTTCGTGTTTGAAGCGTTTATGCCGACGGCGAGTTCAACTGTGTTTCGCGGCTTGATCCATTCGACCGACGTTTCGCAAGACACAACGAAACGAAACTATATCGAAACTATATCGATTCAGAAACTATATCGAACGATGCGCGATATTATACCTGCAATAAACTCCCGACAACTCATATTTTTCAATAAATGCACTCGAAATTGCAGGCTCTCGGGGTTCTCGGGTCGTTCAGAAGATGTATAAGACGGATATATTAGACAACAGATACAAGTCACTTTCCAAGGAATTAGCTGACTGCACTAAAAAATGGGTTCATGTTGGTACAGTGAAGAATGTGTATGTGTATCCGGTGCTTGCGGGTAAGGCAATGGATCTACCTTTCTGCCGATTTGACCTGCCTGGGCCGAGTGTGGTTAAGAATAATTGTGAGATTCATAATAAGTAAGTGCCGTGAGTCGGAAAATTTGCCTCTTCCACTTGAAAATCGCGCCAAGCCCGCCACCGGTAATGATACTAAACTTTCATTTCGCGCTGTCAGCATGTTCATAATATACAATCGGAAGACAAAACGTGTCTACAACGTCCAGAACGACCCTGTTATGCACACGCTGGAAATAATACCTGTAAGCAAATACACAGTGCTGCTGACAGCTACGGAAATGCACAATGTGTTGGTTTTGGACCTGGTAAGGATCCAGAGGAGCTCCCAAATCGTTCCGTACTTCGAATTGTACAATTTGAATAGTCTAATTGACCTACGCTGCCTTGATTGCGGCGAAGAAGCCGCCGAATGGATCACTAAGTATGTGCATTTGAAAATATTTTTGTTCCACGAGATACACATAGTAGCGTTCAAAAGATTCAGCACACTCTGAAATTTCGTTAATATTTCCTAGTGAAAATGATGTCTAATAACACTTAACCTAAATTCTTTTTTTGCACAAAGAAGAGTTTAAAAACTCTTCAAAACAAAAGAGGAAAAGTGTTATTAGATATTAGGCTTCTTTCTTAGTCTTTCTTCTCACTCTTCATTTTCGCCAGGGTTATTTTTCGTATGCATTTCTCGGACATGAAACACAAAAACATAGATGGCTCCTTCTTTCTTGTTCATTAATATAGAATTATCTTGCACAATTTCCACAAAATCCTTGCGATAATAAATCCTAAATATTGCGAAACATTTGGCCTCCTCAAAGCCTTTATTGTAATCCTACTGAATTATTATGGGATCATTTAGATCATATGATCTGTCCAGTACGAATAATCAGTAAAAATCGTCTTTGGCAAGTTTTTCAAAACGAATGAAAGAAAATTAATGGTTAGATATTCAAAAAATTTATCAACGAAATACTACGGGTTTGCGCCGCTCTCGTCAAGACCTGAGAAGGTTACTTTGAAAAGTCAAAAATTTGAAGGTGTTACAGCCTCTTTTTAGTTTTAGTTAGAAAAATATATTAAGTTACATATGTTTTCACACACAAAATATATTCACACATGTACCTTACTTTTTATGTACCTCACGAATAAAATGTGTGCTGAAACTCTTGCGAGTATATTGCCTATCATACGCTAAGAGAGAGTTATATACTAATGAACTGATTCACAGATGTCTAGACAAACCAGACATGCGTTTAGGATTTAATAAGCCGGGCTCAATGATGACAGAATTATTTTGGAATCAGTTCGGCCAGCTATACACACTAAATGGGCACGATCGGGAATCTATAGTAATAAATTGATCGTAATTAATCTATTGTAATAAAATTATAATCTTCACTATTAATTACTACTCTAATACGCTGGTATCTTTGATATTACTGTCAATTAAATATATTGTACTTGTATACAATATATTGTATGTTATATATATATATATATAATAGTATACAATGGTATAATAGTATATAATGATAATATAATGGTATAATATATAGTGTGTTGTAATGACATCAAAATTGACACGACACGAAATAATTATCTTCTTCAGATATGTTACGCAGAATTACCGAAGTGTTCTGTGATATCGAGAACATCGTACAACACAATAAACGAAAAAATGCCACATTTTATACATATGCAAAAATTCCTTCCAAATATTGTTGTTGCACCGGTTAAAAGCCCCTCTTTTAGCGAAATCAAGTGGGAGTGGATCAAGATTGGCAATACAATCATCAAACACACGAAACCGTGGGGGAGGTAATCGTGCGCATTCATCAGTTATACATCCCTTGCACTTATATACCTTCCGACTTTGTTGGTACAGATTTGAAATTATTTTCTCTCGTCTAATCACGAGAGAGCATGCGTTTCTCTCTAATCTTGTTTTTAATAAGTCGTACTCTTCATGGTTTAGATACATAAATATTGAGCCAAAGGATTTGCCAATAGAATTGGTTATTGACCTGATGAGGTTAACTTGCAACGTGTATCTTCCGGGAGACACGCAAATAGGCAACACAGTATACATTCGCGCTCATGATAAGGAAAATTAGCGAAGAGTGATTTATCTTCGCATGATTTGTTAATTTTTTTTTATTAATTTTTTTATTAGTTTTTTTATTAGTTTTATTATAAAATTTTCTCCGTGTTTCTGATAGGAATGTAGGATAGTGTTTCGTACATATCTAGTTTTCAAGAAAATTTTTTGTTAAGATAAATAATTTTGTCAATAATAATATTGCTATAGCAACATGTTATGATATATTACCATGCTAATAAAATATACAGTTTTAATAAAAACGAAATATATTGTAAAATGTAAAATATTTTCAAGCTCATTTTATCTCTTTCGTCCTCTTTATTCGCTTCTTTTTTTTAACTTGTTAAATCAAATCGTGAGACAATCGATGATCGTTTCATTACAAGGTAATATAGAATATGGACCATATAAGTTCATACAGCGTTTAGTTAGATATTATCGTATAACTTGATGCAATCGCGGAAGAGAAGAAACGTATCGAATTATCTCATTAAAATGTGACATTTTTAATTAATTTTAAATATACACACACACATATATATATATTTAAATACATTTATATACTCTTTTTATTATCTGTGTATTTCTATTAAATCAACTGACTCATAATTGAAATATTAATAAGAAAAATAGAAAAAAAAATATTTCTTATATTTGTAATTTTGTGCATGTGTGTGTATATATTTCAGTTTTGTCTCTTAAGTTAAAATTTTTTGCTTAAATTGTGAAATAAATATATACACGAAAAAAAAGACCTTCTTATTTGGAAATAATTTTACTTATAACATGTTAATTTTCAAGTGAGATTACACAGTGTTAAATAAAGAAAAATTACTTGAATCGAATATATTTTATATTTAATGCAACAATTATTAAAATTTAAGACGATAAAGACGTTGCTTGTATATGAAACAATGATATATGAAAGAATAATTGTTTATTTAAAAAAAATACATATATATATATATATTCTTATCATATATATATTATACACACAAACAAACAAAAAATATATATATAATATAAAAAAATGTATATATATACTATATAAATTGTAAAAAAGCCATCAGCAATATAATTTATAAAATTGAACCTTGGTAATCTTGTTAAACCCTTTCATTCGCGTTCCTTCGTTCGCTCATTTGCTCGTTCGCTCGCTCGCTCGCATTAATTAATCGTTGCTCCGCGAGGACGCAAATTAATGCGTCGGTGGTTATACTTATGAAGACGTCGGAGAATTATTGTATCATGAGATGCGCCGATAAGGAGACAGGCCCGATCGAGGGCGTGGGAGGCGAAACGAAGAAACGCCGAGTCCGAGTGTGTCGGTATGATTTGTTGCTCGATCCCCGCGTAGCGTGCGCGCGGAACAAAGCCGAACCTACACTTTCTAGCCTCAAGTATAATACACCGTGCGTACACCGATGGATCGCTCATGCACGAGGTGGCCAAGAGGGATTCGACCTGAGCGAGCGCGCTCAATGGTAATCGCCGAAGAGCGCGGTTCGTCTCTAGCCGCCGGTGATCATCTATGATTCCTACGCCGCGTGTCTCGCTGAAATGAATCGTCCTGCTGGGAGATAACCGCGTGAAAAATGCACGAGTGAAAGCGAAAGGGGCAGAGCCCTTTCGATTAAGATACGACGTGTCGGACGGGAAACCATTTCCGATGCGCGCATTCTCGCGCGCATCGAATAATTATTCCGTATTAATTGTTCGCGCAGAATGCTAGTAATCGGTATCAATAATAACGATAATATCGAGTCTAACCATCGAGTCGTTCCACCTTGGACAGCCGACCACACAATTCGCCTACAGCAGTACAACCCCCCGAAGAGCGAATGTATCCGGGCTACGAAACATCGTACGACCAGACGACATTTGCTCTCGTCTTTCTGTTTTACGCGGTGAAATTAATCTGTTTTATCTCTTGAGATATATCTGAGATACGACTAATATTAAAAAGCGTAGAACTTTCTTCAGAGACAAAGTAAAAATATATTTTATACGATTAAATGAAGAAAAGCCTGTGTCCTTATTATTCAAAAATAATCTTCATTAATGGAGAGCGCAAAATATTGGATTGAGAGAGAGAATACGATGTTTTTAAATGTGTGTTGCATTCCACGTTCCCCTACCCATTTAAAATTAGTATATTTAAATTAACAATCATTGTTTCATATATAAACAACGATATATAATATTTTTAGAAGAATTTTATCGTCTTGTATTCAATTATTTGTTGAATTGAATACAAAATGAAATGCAAATAACTTATCTTCGTTCAACGCTATGTAATCTTATTTGAAAATTAACATGTCAAAAATAAAAAGTTCTTTCTAAAGAATGTTTTTTTCTGTGTATATATTTATTTCACTATCTAAATAATAAATATTAACTTAAGACAAAACTGAAATCGATATACACACAATATTACAAATACGAGGGAAATATTTTTTTTTATTTTTCCTATTAATACTTTTTATTAATACTTAATTTGTGAGTCAGTTGATCTAATAGAGATGCAGAAATAATAGAAAGTAATATATAAGTTTAAATATGCGAATGTAAAATTAGGTAAAAATGTCGCATTTTATCGAGATAATTTGATAAGCCTCTCCTCTTATTAGAAATGGGCGCCATTAGGAAAAGTATCAAATAATCAATCATCAAAATTCGTCTGTATAATTAGATGCTTAAAAGATGATGGAGATATTAACTTTTGTTCACAATTATGGAGATATTATTTACGGAGATGTCAGCGAGTTTTTCGAGTCTAGTCCGCATTCAGTTACACACTGTTAAATATTGGAGGGTCAAATTTAAACCAATTTCTTGAGTTAAATAATATTTAGTTATTTTTAACTATCATATGTGTCAAAATTTACTATTTTAACACAAAACATGTGTTTAAAAAAACAACCACATCTAATCAACTCATTTAAAACAATATTAAGTCATTTTTTACCAAAACAAAGGTTACATTAACGTGCACATAATAAAAAATAAACTAAATTTTAGCCAAATTTAATACATTTCTTAAGTTAAATTATTTAACTCCATTACATTAGTTAAATTAACGACATATTTAGTAGCAGTGGCGACTTATAGGAATGGTTAAAAATAATTCAAATTGAGTATAATTTGACACTACGGATTTAACAGTGCACGAACCGAAATTTGTTGCCGTGCACAATTAGAATACATTTGACTTTTCATTACGATTGTTATGATAAAATATTCAGGATTACCCGTGTGACACGACGAGCAGATAGACAGCCCCGTAGACCTACTTCGGCGACATCTAAGCGGAGACGTTCTCCAGAGTACCGTAAACCTCGACAAAACTGATAAAAGCAGGTTTTAGAGACGAGTCCGTCCCTCCCGCCGCGGGCCTCACTTTGCAGTCGAGAACGTGATGTACAGTTACTTGGCCTGACTGTTGCTCTCGTCACGAATGTGAGTGTCTATGAACCCACGCGTATACACGTATACACGCGCCCGTGTGTGCGTGACCGGCGATTCACACGCGTATCGGAAATGCTGACCGCGAATACGGTGGCGGATAGCAAACTGCCACTTGTTCTTTTACGCTTTAACGAAAGCGAGCATCACGAAGTAAATCGCGCTTTCAGATGTAGTTCCTCCTCGCGGTGGAGGGTCTTGCGCGATCTGAGAATAGGACAAGCGAAAAAATCTGAACGGATTCTCGCTGGGAAAGGTAAGCGCGTTTCACCGAGTCTTCTCTTCCCTCAAAATGTAATACGACAAAATACGTATCCAGCACTAATGAACTTGGCGTACGATTTAATTTCAAGTATATCCACACACACATTTGTGTTTGATTTGTTTGTTCAATATATATTTTTAACAGAAATCTCGACTAGATTTATCTTATTATATCCTCGCAAAGCGAGAATATAAGTTTTAGGCAACTTAATCTGGCACACTGAACTTCTTCTCATTCTTATTTATTTACATTCCACAAAACTGTTAATAAAAATCTATAAAAAAATAATAAATATATTTTCAATAGAATATAGAATGTTTGTAGAATAGAATTGTGTATAAAAATCACCGTAAAAATCGTCATTTAATTATTTCATTTTATGAAAATATAAAGAGAATGCGATAAAGACGTGAGTCTTTACATAAAAATTTTTAACTTTCCTGAAAACTTTTCATTTTACATGGAAAACAAAATTACACACACAAGAGCGAATAGTTTTATACACATAAGTTACTACACACTTGGATTTGCAGTGTTGATGCTGCTAAATACGTGGTGTTCTATAGTAAGTTTCTGATAAACATATTAGTAGCGATCCAAGAATCCGAGGTGACATTTTTGCCGGCAGACGGATGCACATTGAAGTATCCGCGAGTACCTGCAAAAATGCACTCGCGAAGCTACCGTAATTACTCCTCTTCGCGTCGGTGCGCGATGTAATCGGATGCAATCTTCGATAACTATCTCGCGCCACTCGCACCTCGTACGTGACTTCAATTTGTATCCTTAACAGTTATTGCAATTATAATCTGCGATCGACGCGCGATTATCTCGACGTCCTCGTGATCCTTTCGGTCTCGGCGCGCTCGCGCGTGCAAGCCGTAACGCAACCGACGGAGCTTTTCTCTCAGCAACGACGTACGAAACCTCGGCGCACGAAAAGAATTGATTATTCATGACACCGGGGCTTCGCTCTCTTCGCGCGAGAGCGCAGTCCTCTCCTCTCATTCTCCCTTACTACCTGCTTCTCGGCTTGCAATCGCGATATTTATGCCGCGCGCCGTACATTTCACGTCCGATCGGCGACGGTCGCGCGAGCAACTTCGCCTTCTTCACTTTGTTGCGTCGCATCGGCGCGCTTCGTAGGCGAGACGACCACGACGACGAGGATGCGTAGCCGCGAGCACTTCCCGCGATGCACAATTACCACGGCAGGACGCGCGCGGCCGTAGCGTGGGCGTAGCGCAGCTTTCACCTGGCCGAAGCCGCGCGCGTGGTCGTCGCCTTCGAGATGCGCCAGCCGAGATGGTGCCTTCACTCGCGGAAATTTGTCAACGTCCCTGACGCGAGCGGTATCCTCAATATCGCATTTAACCCCCTCGCCGCGGGCGATTAGAACCAGAATGCACCTGCACGCCGACGGCGAGAGCGCGAATAAAAGGGTTGCCGCCTAAATCCTTTTTCTATCTCTTTCTCTTTCTCTCTCTTTCTCTCTTTCGCTTTCCCGTTC